ATGTATAGTCCCTTTATATAAAGGGAAGGGGACAAAAGAGATTGTAAAAATTATAGAGGAATAAGTTTAACTGAGTATACCAGGAAAAGTATACGGTTTTTAGGGTTATAATTGAAAGAATTAGAGGTAAGACAGAATGTAGAATTGCGGATGAGCAGGAGGCTTCAGAGTGGGTAGGGGATGTGTAGATCAAGTGTTTTACATTGAAGCATATATGTGAACAGTATTTAGATAAAGGTAGGGAAGTTTTTATTGCATTTATGGATTTAGAAAAGGCATATGATAGCGGATAGAGGAGCAATGTGGCAGATGTTTGCAAGTTATGGAATAGGTGGTAAGTTACTAAATGCTGTAAAGAGCTTTTATGAGGATAGTGAGGCTCAGGTTAGGGTGTGTAGAAGAGAGGGAGAATACTTCCCGGTAAAAGTAGGTCTTAGACAGGGATGTGTAATGTCACCATGGTTGTTTAATATATTTATAGATGGGGTTGTAAAAGAAGTAAATGCTAGGGTGTTCGGGAGAGGGGTAGGATTAATTATGGGAATCAAATTCAAAATGGGAATTGACACAGTTACTTTTTGCTGATGATACTATGCTTATGGGAGATTCTAAAGAAAAATTGCAAAGGTTATGGATGAGTTTGAGAATGTGTGTGTAAAGGTAGAAAGTTGAACGTGAACATAGAAAAGAGTAAGGTGATGAGGGTATCAAATGATTTAGATAAAGAAAAATTGGATATTCAAATTGGGGAGGAGGAGTATGGAAGAAGTGAATGCTTTCAGATACTTGGGAGTTGACGTCTGCGGATGGATTTATGAAGGATGAGGTTAATCATAGAATTGATGAGGGAAAAAGGTGAGTGGTGCATTGAGGTATATGTGGAGTCAAAAAACGTTATCTATGGAGGCAAAGAAGGGAATGTATGAAAGTATAGTAGTACCAACACTCTTATATGGATGTGAAGCTTGGGTGGTAAATGCAGCAGCGAGGAGAAGGTTGGAGGCAGTGGAGATGTCCCTGTCTAAGGGCAATGTGTGGTGTAAAATATATGCAGAAAATTCGGAGTGTGGAAATTAGGAGAAGGTGTGGAGTTAATAAAAGCATTAGTCAGAGGGCAGAAGAGGGGTTGTTGAGGTGGTTTGGTCATTTAGAGAGAATGGATCAAAGTAGAATGACATGGAAAGCATATAAATCTATAGGGGAAGGAAAGAGGGTAGGGGTCGTCCTCGAAAGGGTTGGAAAGAGGGGGTAAAGGAGGTTTTGTGGGCGAGGGGCTTGGACTTCCAGCAAGCGTGCATGAGCGTGTTAGATAGGAGTGAATGGAGACGAATGATACTTGGGACCTGACGATCTGTTGGAGTGTGAGCAGGGTAATATTAGTGAAGGGATTCAGGGAAACCGGTTATTTTTCATATAATCGGACTTGAGTCCTGGAAATGGGAAGTACAATGCCTGCACTTTAAAGGAGTGGTTTGGGATATTGGCAGTTTGGAGGGATATGTTGTGTATCTTTATACGTATATGCTTCTAAACTGTTGTATTCTGGGCACCTCTGCAAAAGCAGTGATAATGTGTGAGTGTGGTGAAAGTGTTGAATGATGATGAAAGTATTTTCTTTTGGGGATTTTCTTTCTTTTTTTGGGTCACCCTGCCTCGGTGGGAGACGACCGACTTGTTAAAAAAAAAAAAAAAAAAAAAAATATATATATATATATATATATAACTGATTTGTGATCACTGGCTCCAAGCTTTTCATTAACAAATTATAACGAAGCACTAAACCTTAAGGGCCACACAGTGCTGTTACATTAACAAAGTCTAGTCTGGATATTTCTTCCAGATGGTTCTGACAGTTTTCAAAAGCAGTCTTATCGCAATGTACACCAATGGTTCCAAGTCTTCGACGGTGTTGGATTCACAGCAGTGTTTCCGGACAGCGTCGTGCGAGAGCGTTTCCCCCCGGCTAGCATTTTTTACAGCTGAATTGTATGCCATTCTCATAGTTCTTATCCATATTGCATCTATACTTGTCACCATTTGTGGTCATTTCAGACTCTTAGTGCTTTACAGGCTATACAAAAATTTGATACACCTTGTCCTCTGGTTCTTCATATCCAACTTTGGTTTACAACCATACTCTAGCAAGCACAAAGATATTGTTTTTTGTTGGGTCCTCAGTCATATTGACATACAGGGCAATGAACAGGCAGACAGTGCTGTGCAGTCAGCAGTACATGACCTCCCAGTTTGATATAGAGTGATTCATTCACTATTTTGCTGTAATTGCTACCCACCTTCACACCCGTCGGCAACAACGTTGGTCTGATCTGCTCCATAATAAACTACATTCTATTAAACCGAGTATAGGTTTCTGGCCGTCTTATCAGTGTCGAGGTTGGGAGTCTACTCCCGTCTTCACTTTGGCCACATACTTCTTACTCATGAGTACCTCGTGGAGAGGTGCCCTGTTCCACTCTGAGAATTGCCAGGTTCCAGTTTCTGTTAGCCACATTCTGTTGGACCACCCACTCTATCAGCGAGTATGCACAATTTACATCCATCGTCATCACCACTCTACTGCCCTTACTTTACCTTCCATTCAAGCTAATGGACCCTCCTTTAACCCACACACTCTCGTTGACTTTTTGACAGCAATTGATTTACTGTACAAACTCTGATGATGCCTCTAGTACTCCTCACAGCCCTTTCTACCTCAATCTCTTGCTATCCTCTACCCCAGCACTATCCACTGTCCCACTGCACTCCATGACCTAATCATCTCTCTCCCTCTTGCTACCCAATACCCCTGCATCCTTTTGTGCCCAGCGGTGCTGTATGACCCTTGTAGGTTTAGCGCTTCTTTTTTTATTATTGAAAGCAGTCTTAGACCATGTCTAGAAAGTTTCTGGACTCGAGATTACCCGTCAAACTGCCTCAGGTGTTGCATGACCCTATGGTTTAGTGCTCCTTGTTAATGTGATTATTGCATACTTAGCTCAGAGAGAAGGAATCACTCGTGAGACATTCATGTTTCCTCACGCCTGCTGCATCTCTTCACCTAGCAGCTGCTGTATAATCCTTATGGGTTTAGCACTCCCCCCATGATAATAATAATAATTAATAATTCACTAGCAGTATTATCAAAACCAAGCACTAAACCACAAGGGTCACACTAGCAGTAAGTAGGTACCACGAGTTTCAGATGACTGTCATGGTGGCATCCTGGGAAGAGGACCTCAGTGGGAGTCGCATTATTATAATCAAAAAGCGCTAAGCCACAAGGGCTTACAGCAGTGGGAGTCACAGAAAATCCTTGAAGACTCGACTTTCATTGGGTCATCTGGGTTACTAACATTCAGAATTGTAATACATGGAATTACCAATAAATTTATGTAACTATGCCCATTAACCTGTGCTGTATGACCCTTGTAGGTTTAGTGCTTCATTATTATATGCCCATTCAAGTAAACAGATCTATTGTGACTTTTTTTTTTGTGCTACTAATCACAGGATGAGCAAGAGGTGCTCAATAAATTAATCACTCGCTTATCAAAACCAAGTGCTAAACCCATAAAGGTCATGAAGTGCCAAACTGCACAACTAACAGGCTAATACATAGTTTTTGTTTTTTTTTTTACCCCAACTGTTAGAACTGATGACACCTGTGGGTTTCCTTAATTAATGTCCTGATCCTCTTCCACAGCATACCATTTACAACACACTTAGGTTCATCACCACATAGTTGCTAACCTCACCTGTAGGTGGTCTCTCAGCCAGGCTACAGGGGAACATTCATTCTTCTTGACCCTGGTTCCATTCTTGCAAATCTCCAGAAATTTTTGTGTACTGATTGCTTTTCAGATTATCAACCATACGGGTTTAGTGCTCCCCATGATAATTATAATCATAACTAATCACTAAACTGCTCTTCTGAGCAGTACCAAACAAAAGTATTCCTGTGCCTTGGAAGAGGGACAGGAATACTTATATGTTTGGGTTATCCCGAGTTCCTAACTTTCTGAGGGATCATACAGACTTGGAAATCTGAGGTCATCAGGTTTGATCCAAGGGGATTATCATAATCAGATCAGGAGGGGTGGGATGCTCTAAACCCACATGGGTTATACTGCACCTGAGAAAATAGAAATTAGGGTCAAAACAGGACAGGGCCAATTCATTGGATCAGAAGCCCTTCACTGGCACCCACTTTCTTAAATAATCATATCCATGGGGAAGCACTTAACCCATAAGGGTTACACAGTGCCTTGGAAATGGGAGGTAATCAGGTTTGATCATAGGATGGGGGTGACTCCAATTACTTTTAAGATCCTTCACTAAGGAACTACCATTCTTCAAATTAACTTTTGCTATTGCTTTCTATTATCACCTTCCCTGAAGGTGGCCCCCATGCTGGTGAGGGGCTCATAATCCAAGTTACTGGACTTTTTCTGTTCTTCCCGTCCCTGGGGTGCACCTCCATGCCTCCCATTAACTAGGTATTATATGACCCCTACAGATTTAGTGCTTCCCCATGTTTCAATCTAACCTCTCCTTTGCAATGATGATTCTAAATATGGGTTATGAATAGTTCCAGCCAAATTATTTTTATGGAATAAAGAAAAGCTAAATCCATATGGGTCATACAACACCTGGGGATTCGGAAGCCATCAGGTTCAAATCATTAAACAGCACTATAACCCTAATGGTTTAGTACTTAGTTTTGATTATAATGTAAAACTAATAAAGGGGAGCCCCTCACCACCTTTCAGGGGTCTTCTACAATTATGGGGAAAATGGTAAACCTGTAAAGGTCATACAGTCCCTGGAGAATGGAAGGGGGGGGAGGTGGATGGAACAATCAGGTTTGGAAAGGGAATAAAAATCCAATTCCTAGGCTCAAGAAAAAATAAGGTACTAGTTTTCCAATAAATGCACATCTTGACATGCAAATTGCAAATATTTTTTTTTATTTGTACTCGTAATGAAGGCTCATAAGACGATTCTCTTAAAAACTTTTATTTCTCTAGTTTAACTACCCTAATTCCATTACCCATATTTTATACACTGATTATACACCACCCACATTAATGCTCTTTTCCTCGCACACCATTTTCAGTTTTTTTTTTTTTTTAAGTACTATTGCACAAATACAATAACTGAGATAATACAGGTACATGTACTTGAATTTACATCACATTCATAGCTATGTACACTCAACATAATGAGATATAATACATGTATTATCTGTGCAATGAACTTATGATGCTTAAAGCTTGCGTCTCCTCTAGCACTAAGTATATATAATTAATGAAGAAACTCGGTAATCTGTAACATCAAATGGCTAGAAATTTATTAAATTAAAAAATCTAATATTCTCACCATTTGCAGATCTAGAATTTCAATGGAAACTTTCAACTGAGGCTGGCATCAAGACTATTCAATAGTAAGAACGAGAATAACTTGTTGGTTGATTATTGTAAGACTGAAAAGAAAGGAAATAATTATTAGCTTACATATTAAATATCCTAGGTGATACAAAAAGATGTTCTAAACAGTTGTACTGTATTATATTTTGTCATCTAGTTGAGGCACATGAATTAAAGAATTTTTTCAGGCAGCTTCAACCTCCATTCCTGCAATCCCTATGTTGCTGCTGCTATTTCTCTGCACATTTTGTTGCCATTTTCCAACTATCGGCCCCATAACACCTTGCAAATTTAAACATTTTTATGCAAACTTTTTTAATGATTACTTTTTCATACCCTTTAAGCCTAAATGTATTACAATATACAACACCTCTCTCTGTGCTTGACTGTACATTACATTTCCCGATCTTCAAACAATTTGTGGAGACTGTTTATGGCCAAAGGCCTATTTTGGACTGTTACAAACATTCACCCAGTCTTTCACTTATCTCAAAGGTTGATGACCTAACGACCACAGCAGCTGAACCCTGGACTCTTTCCTTCACAAAGTTTTAAGATGCCAATCATCATCTCACAGAACCCTTCTTGCCAAGGAGCCTTGGGAAGTGTGAGTTTCCAACGACATTGATTCAGCATTTGTTATACCTCTGGTTTATCAAACATTTTGCTAATGTCCATCTTCACAAAGTGCCAGATCAACTCACCATTGAAAAAGCAATGATCTGCAGTAATAATGTAGCTCTCCAGTGGTTAAGAAACTAATAAACTGGTCTAAGTACAAAATCATCACAGAGAGAGTTACTGGGGTAAGTCCATGTTGAATCAAAACATAGAAATCCATGCGAATAACTGTGACAGAAGCACCCTTCGTAATAACTTTCATTAGTGGGATGTTATGTCAATGTGGTGCTGTATGACCCTTGTAGGTTTAGTGCTTCTTTTTGATTGTAATAATAATATATCAATGGATAACTGAAGCAGATACATTATACTGAAACACATATTACATAACTGCTGAGCAAGGCATCGCCAATAAATTTCCCTGCTGTGGTAAATTAACTGTGACCATATTAAGCATTCATGAGTAGATCTTCATGAACAAGTGATGAAGCAGATTACAGTGAAACAACTCGATAAATGTACTGTGAACTGAACAGTCGAATGTGTGCAGTGAACTAGAATGCTAATGGATGCAACAAACTGTCCACAGTATCCCAAAAATGGCATTCAACATGGCTAAAGCAATGAAGAGAAGTTGGGACATCTTTGTGATTCATCAGGTACACCCATCATATTTTTTAATCAAGCCATCAGATAATGGCCTCCAGATGACAGTGGCATCATGGCTCAAGTCCACACGAGCCCAGGTAGGTCCTTATTTTTCACATAGCCCTAGAGAACGTTAACTGAAGTGATTAGGGTCCAGATAATTACAGAAATATGGACGATACTTTAAAGATGCCATACTGGGCCAGCAAACTGCCCATACCAGGTAAATCATGTAATCCAGGTGTTATATACCTTGATATAGTGGATCATATGGTGTTAGGGCATATGTTAAGCCATTTCATCACCCTTTTTCAGCTACATGGGACATATGACAATCACTGTACGAAGGAAAGGCTCCAGGGTGCAGCTGATGTGGTCTTTGGGTTGTCAACCTTTAAGACTAGGTAAATGTCTGTAACAACCTAGGTCTAAAGTTGGTCTTTAGTCAGTCTCCACACAATTCTCATTTCAGACTGCTCCGTAACTGTCCAATTCTCCATTTAAAGCATTGACAAAACTATTCAGTACTAAAGATGAGAAAAGGACACATGAAGGATGGGTGAAAATATAATAACTAAAAAAAAAAAAAAATTACAAACTTATGAAACACTGATTCAGGAATGAGCTTAGCTCTCATCCTACAACATTAAGTAATCACAAATAGGTCTCAAGATATGCACAGTGCATCTCAAAATAATTTTATTGTATGTCTGGTTTTGATGATGCAAGTAACACCTGTGGCCATTTGTGTTAACATTTATTAACCATGTAAATACATTCAGCATTAGGCTGACAATTTGGGATTTTATATAGCCTCAGGTGTTCATATAATTGAAGCCTGTTCTTCCAAGTGTTTGCTACAGGCTTGCATGATTCAAGCATCATCTGGGGTAGATATTGTAGGAAACTATGTATTCGTCATGCATTAAAAGCAAGAAATAATCTTATTAATACATGCAGTATGTATACAACCTAACTAAGAACAATACATTTTATTTGTTTACATCATGCAAAAACACTCATTGCAAAGTGTGGTAAAAATGAACACTATTTGGAAGGCAGGTTGTAGTTACACACTGTATCTAGTTTCTTGTAATTTGTCTTCACTGTGTTGATGTTGACCTTTACTGCATACTATTGCTACCATACTTAAGGTAGAAAACAAATATGATTTCCCTCATTATACTAATGAATTTTGGATGTAATGGACAAAATGTGCTGGAAACATTCAGAAACAACCAACAGTCTGTTAAATACAGAATTGTCTGTTACTGCAATGGACCACAGCATTATTTTAAAATTTAATGGACATTTGCTATTCACAAAACTCACTCAGGAGAGGACACTTATGATGACGTTTTGGTCTGTCTGGAGAACTGTCATGTCACATTTGCCAGAATTGTCCATTTTTGCTGTGGTCTGTTGGGTAAAATTGATTTTCAGATTTAACAGGTGAAGTCAAATCCAAAATTGTCCTTTATTATGATCATCATAAAACAATCTCCTTTGGATTTGACAGACACCTCTTTTACCCTATTACAGCCTCTCCTCACTTAACGACTGAGTTCCGTTCCTAGGACCACATAGGTAAATGAATTCGTCGCTGTGAGGAGCATACTATAATGGAAGAGGGTTTGTGTCAACCATCTTTGATATTGTTTTAATGTCACCTTTGCAAAATTTATAACATTTCTGCTATATTTTTAAATGTTTATGCAGCAGTATACTGTAACAAACAGAATAGAGGAAATCAGCTCTAATATTTTTATTATTATCACACTGGCCGATTCCCACCAAGGCAGGGTGGCCCGAAAAAGAAAAACTTTCACCATCATTCACTCCATCACTGTCTTGCCAGAAGGGTGCTTTACACTACAGTTTTTAAACTGCAACATTAACACCCCTCCTTCAGAGTGCAGGCACTGTACTTCCCATCTCCAGGACTCAAGTCCGGCCTGCCGGTTTCCCTGAACCCCTTCATAAATGTTACTTTGCTCACACTCCAACAGCACGTCAAGTATTAAAAACCATTTGTCTCCATTCACTCCTATCAAACACGCTCACGTATGCCTGCTGGAAGTCCAAGCCCCTCGCACACAAAACCTCCTTTACCCCCTCTCTCCAACCTTTCCTAGGCCGACCCCTACCCCGCCTTCCTTCACTACAGACTGATACACTCTTGAAGTCATTCTGTTTCGCTCATTCTCTCTACATGTCCGAACCACCTCAAACAACCCTTCCTCAGCCCTCTGGACAACAGTTTTGGTAATCCCGCACCTCCTCCTAACTTCCAAACTACGAATTCTCTGCATTATATTCACACCACACATTGCCCTCAGACATGACATCTCCACTGCCTCCAGCCTTCTCCTTGCTGCAACATTCATCACCCATGCTTCACACCCATATAAGAGCGTTGGTAAAACTATACTCACATACATTCCCCTCTTTGCCTCCAAGGACAAAGTTCTTTGTCTCCACAGACTCCTAAGTGCACCACTCACTCTTTTCCCCTCATCAATTCTATGATTCACCTCACTTTCATAGACCCATCCGCTGACACGTCCACTCCCAAATATCTGAATACATTCACCTCCTCCATACTCTCTCCCTCCAATTGATATTCAATCTTTCATCACCTAATCTTTTTGTTATCCTCATAACCTTACTGTTTCCTGTATTCACCTTTAATTTACTTCTTTTGCACACCCTACCAAATTCATCCACCAATCTCTGCAACTTCTCTTCAGAATCTCCCAAGAGCACAGTGTCATCAGCAAAGAGCAGCTGTGACAACTCCCACTTTGTGTGTGATTCTTTATCTTTTTAACTCCACGCCTCTTGCCAAGACCCTCGCATTTACTTCTCTTACAACCCCATCTATAAATATATTAAACAACCACGGTGACATCAACACATCCTTGTCTAACGCCTACTTTTACTGGGAAATAATTTCCCTCTTTCCTACATACTCTAACTTGAGCCTCACTATCCTCGTAAAAACTCTTCACTGCTTTCAGTAACCTACCTTCTACACCATACACTTGCAACATCTGCCACATTGCCCCCCTATCCACCCTGTATACGCCTTTTCCAAATCCATAAATGCCACAAAGACCTCTTTAGCCTTATCCAAATACTGTTCACTTATATGTTTCACTGTAAACACCTGGTCCACACACCCCCTACCTTTCCTAAAGCCTCCTTGTTCATCTGCTATCCTATTCTCAGTCTTACTCTTAATTCTTTCAATAATAACTCTACATACACTTTACCAGGTATACTCAGCAGACTTATCCCCCTATAATTTTTACACTCTCTTTTATCCCCTTTGCCTTTATACAAAGGAACTATGCATGCTCTCTGCCAATCCCTAGGTACCTTACCCTCTTCCATACATTTATTAAATAATTGCACCAACCACTCCAAAACTATATCCCCACCTGCTTTTAACATTTCTATCTTTATCCCATCAATCCCGGCTGCCTTACCCCCTTTCATTTTACCTACTGCCTCACGACCTTCCCCCACACTCACAACTGGCTCTTCCTCACTCCTACAAGATGTTATTCCTCCTTGTCCTATACACGAAATCACAGCTTCCCTATCTTCATCAACATTTAACAATTCCTCAAAATATTCCCTCCATCTTCCCAATACCTCTAACTCTCCATTTAATAACTCTCCTATTTTTAACTGACAAATCCATTTGTTCTCTAGGCTTTCTTAACTTGTTAATCTCACTCCAAAACTTTTTCTTATTTTCAACAAAATTTGTTGATAACATCTCACCCACTCTCTCATTTGCTCTCTTTTTTACATTGCTTCACCACTCTCTTAACCTCTCTCTTTTTCTCCATATACTCTTCCCTCCTTGCATCACTTCTACTTTGTAAAAACTTCTCATATGCTAACTTTTTCTCTCCTTACTACTCTCTTTACATCATCATTCCACCAATCACTCCTCTTCCCTCCCACACCCACTTTCCTGTAACCACAAACTTCTGCTGAACACTCTAACACTACATTTTTAAACCTACCCCATACCTCTTCGACCCCATTGCCTATGCTCTCATTAGCCCATCTATCCTCCAATAGCTGTTTATATCTTACCCTAACTGCCTCCTCTTTTAGTTTATAAACCTTCACCTCTCTCTTCCCTGATGCTTCTATTCTCCTTGTATCCCATCTACCTTTTACTCTCAGTGTAGCTACAACTAGAAAGTGATCTGATATATCTGTGGCCCCTCTATAAACATGCACATCCTGAAGTCTACTCAACAGTCTTTTATCTACCAATACATAATCCAACAAACTACTTCATTTCGCCCTACATCATATCTTGTATACTTATTTATCCTCTTTTTCTTAAAATATGTATTACCTATAACTAAACCCCTTTCTATACAAAGTTCAATCAAAGGGCTCCCATTATCATTTACACCTGGCACCCCAAACTTACCTACACACACCCTCTCTAAAAGTTTCTCCTACTTTAGCATTCAAGTCCCCTACCACAATTACTCTCTCACTTGGTTCAAAGGCTCCTATACATTCACTTAAATCTCCCAAAATCTCTCTCTCTCTCCTCTACATTCCTCTCTTCTCCAGGTGCATACACGCTTATTATGACCCACTTTTCGCATCCAACCTTTACTTTAATCCACATAATTCTTGAATTTACACATTCATATTCTCTTTTCTCCTTCCATAAAATGATCATTTAACATTACTGCTACCCCTTCCTTTGCTCTAACTCTCTCAGATACTCCAGATTTAATCCCATTTATTCCCCCCACTGAAACTCCCCCACCCCCCTTTAGCTTTGTTTCGCTTAGGGCCAGGACATCCAACTTCTTTTCATTCATAACATCGCAATCCCTCTGTTTCTTGGGCATCCGCACTACATCCACGCACATTTAAGCATCCCAGTTTTATAAAATTTTTCTTCTTCTCTTTTTTAGTAAATGTCTACAGGGAAGGGGGTTACTGGCCCATTGCTCCCGCATTTTTAGGTCGCCTCAATTTCGACACGCATGGCTTACGGAGGAAAGATTCTTTTCCACTTCCCCCGGACAATAAAGAAATAAAAAAAGAACAAGACTATTTAGAAAAAGGATAAAAACCTGATGTATGTTATATAATGCATGTTGGTCTGTGAAGGGTCCAAAGTTAAATAGAAGTACAAGATCCCCTGTTATCTAGGTGTTTATGAGACAGAAAAAGAAACCAGCAATTTTTTCCATCATGAAAACCCCCAGTTACAGGTTTCTTTTTAAAACGGGTCATCGGGCAGGCCCAGAAAGTATTTTTCCCCCGGGGGGGTTGCTGTCTAAAACCAGCTCAATATACACTTTTTAGGTATGCATACTGGTCAGAGTCGTCAATAAACAAGTACGTCGCTAAGTGAGGAGAGGCTGTAGTCTGTTTTATTGAGGGTTCACTGTACAATACTTGTTTACTGTAAGCCCTGGCTCTCAGCCAAATAAACATTTTTACTCTGGATCATAGTTTTGCTTTAAACAATAAATGGACTAAGATTTAAAGAAAAAAAAATAGTGCTAGATTTCAGTGGAAATCAGTATGTCTGAATAAAAAAGCTAGCTCAATGAAATATTCAGACATGCGTGATAGCCATCAATTGCCATTCCTTCTTTTTCCCAACTTTTCCTGTTTTTTCAGGGTGAAATCTATTCTTGCACAGCGCTGTATAGCCTTTGTGGCTTAGCGCTTCTTTTTTATTATAATAATAATAATAATAATAATAATTGCACAGCTTCACTTTGATCAGAAATGTATCTCCAAGAACCTAAAATTCTCAGTTTGAATTCTGCCTACAAAACCTTGCTAAAACACTTGCAAAAGAAATTTGCTTTTGATGGCTCGGAAATAATGTGAAACTAATAATAAAATGCAGAGATTTTGCAAGTTGGCATTTATTTAAATCTAGTCCCCTTATGCCACCTACAATCATAGGCATTAAGAAACATGAGCCCTTAATAGTTACAACTGAGAGAAGCAACTTTTCTGACTGCTTAAAAACAGTAAAAGAATCAAGGAAATATAAATTTTGTTAGAGGTGAAGAGTTCAGCAAATATATAGCCATCATCAGCTGAAAAAAAAAGTCACATGTATTAATTCCAAAACAAAAAGAAAAAAAACAAAAAAGACAAAAAGTAGAGACACTAACCCTTGGCTGAGCTTCTGGCTTACTCACATGGGATGCAGAGCTCACAACCGGGGAAGGCTGCTGCGAGGAAGGAACAGTGCGAACAGGGAACCCTGAGGTGATGCTTCCGCTCTTACCACCCTAGGAAGGTATTTAGTTATCAGTTCAGCAACTCAAAAATATGCTTCCAGTGATAAGAAACACCCATTATTAGGTACATTAAGAAACAGAAAACTGAAACTGGGAAAGCTTCCTTGTTAAAAAAAAAAAAAAAAAAAAAGCTCCTTCATAATCCAGGAAAATGCAATTAAAGCAATTAACTACACTGTTTACATTTATCAGGTTACTCTAATACTTCAAGCAGGAAAATGCCAGTAAAACTATTTTAAAACAATTAGGACAAATTCATCTAAGAGCAATAAAGTATTTTCAATAATTACAATGCCAAATACAATTAAGAAGCAGAATAGAATTTCACATTTTCAATTGTCACATAGCAATTAAAAAAAAAAGGGCTTAACACAAAGAACTGGTTTATAGTTGACCCCTGAAGAACACTTATACACAGATTTTTTTCAATGTACTGGAAAATTTTTTGAAGATTTGTGACTGAAAAAATTAAGAGAGTTAATGTCATGCGTAAAATATATGTAGATACTAGTCCATTTTATCATTTACTACCATAAAATATACATAAATCCACTATAAAAGTTAAAATTTATCAAAACTTAAGCGCACAAACAATTACAGATCATACATGTTCCATTCGCAGCTGAGAGAAATGTAAACTAAAAGATGCAATATTAAATCACGAATAAACATGAATTGTTTTTTTCATTTTTGACATTTAGCATTAGTAATACGCATAACATCTACAGTGTTCTGTATCATATAAGACAATACAGTGGTACTGTGACTTACGAGTTTAATCCGTTCCCTGACCTAGCTCGTAACTCAATCTGCTCGTATATCAAATCAACTTTCCTCAGTGAAATTAACTGAAATGCCATTAATCCGTTTCAGTGTAATTCCTGTTCTCGGGAGGCACGAGAAAATACTTAAATTTAACGCTAATGTCAACTCTATGGCTTATTTATATATCGCAATTCATTTAATGACATAATAAACAATATAAATAAAACGGAAACATGATATATACTTTAGAATGAATAAAATATGTCATTATGTGACGAGTGGTGGCGGCCACTCCAGCTCCCGCTCTTACTATATCTTACCATTCTTCCCCTTCTGAAAATGCAGTTTTGTGAGGGTAACTGCACTAGATCACTAGTTTCATAAGGAAAACACTGAAACAATGTATTTAAAAAGAAGAAATATTGTATAAAAACATAAAACATAACAAAGAATGTAAAGAAATAAACTGGTTTTATATAGTGTACATATTTACCTTGGAGAACAGATGGAGGTGGAGGGTGGAAAAGATAGGCTACTTGCTACACTCTTAATGCTACACTTTATTACTTGGCTGGTGCTATAGCCTTTATCAACTCCTCCTGCTTTAGTATTGTATATCTAGTGGAAGTACTACGCTTGTACTGCCTGGCCAAGTCCACAACCCACACACCTCACTCGTGTTTATCTATGATTTCATTCTTTAATTCAATGGGCCTCATCCTCTTTTTCTTCTCAGCACTGTCCTTTGCACTTACTTTCTTTGGAGCCATGGTTAGAAAAAAGAAATTTGGCAAAATGACTGCACAAAATGCAAGCACAACACAAGAGAAATGCTTCCACGCGAGGTAAACACATGCACTGCTGAGTAGATGTTGTGGAGTTCTCTGCGCCAACTAGTGGTGGCATTCAGAAGATTGCTCATAACTCTGATTTTGGCTCATAACTCAGAGCAAAAAATCGACCAAGCACCAGCTCATAACTCGAAAAACTCGTATGTTCGGGCACTCATAAGTCAAGGTTCCACTGTATTGATGAAGGTACTGACAGACAATTCATCTTATAAACAAAGTAAAGTTATGGTATTGATGAATATTGTACAGTACTGTAAATGTATTTTCTCTTCCTTATGATTTTCTTAAAAAAAAAAAAAAAATCTCTAGCTTACTTTATTGTATATAAAGTATACAGTATATTATACATATAACATACAAAAATGTGTGTTAAACCACTGTTTGTTATCAGAAAGGCTTCTGGTTAGTAGTTAAGTTTATGGGGGACTCAAAAGTTATATGCAGATTTTCAGGTGTAGGGGGTCAGCGCCCCTAACCCCCCCGTGTTGTTCAAGGGTCAACTATATTATATAATAAGTATATAAAGGAACAAATGCAATCTCTAACGATAATTATAGAATTTAAAAATTCACTTTTAAAATAAATAATTTGCTACTTAAGTATGTTCTGACAATTATCTTACAAAATACTTTAGGTATTCTCGCCATTAAGAGCCTAAATACACTTTTTTAATGAGTTCAAAAATCACTGTCAGGGGAGAATGCTTTTTAGTTTAAATAATTTTAATAAATTATTTATCCAAGTGCTAATTTCAATATTTTATGATTCTACTAAGTACACAAAGAATAAAAATATTTCATACAGTGGATAGCTTCATGTCTCTCCTCATGAAGTCAGGTATTATAGCCAAGTTAGCCATAGACGAAGTGCTACTTACTCCTTGCTACAAGTTTCCTAGTTATATTAGGGCTATTGTATATGAAATAAAAAAAAAATCCTTTCAGTTGGAACAATAATTTTAAAGTATCTTCGTAACACATTTCAACATCAAACTATCACATAGCCTACAGAGCCTGTATAGAAGATCTTAAGTCTGAAGACACGACTACAAAATGACTCCCAAAGCAAGGCAATATTGCTAATACAGACTGAAAACATTAAAAATTCCCCACAGGGACTGATATGAGGTGACATGATTATCAAATGAAAGATCATAAAAGAATACTATACAAGAAAACAAAGATGATTTTTAGCACCATCAACCAGAACAACAGGCTAAATAATGCAAAAAAAATATATACACCTACCATCTGACTTATGACCGAGTTCGGTTCCGAGAAACCGGTCGTCAGTCGAAATGGTCGTAAGTCGAAATGGTCGTAAGTCGAACTTTACTACTGAATATCAACAAAACATTTTTGTAATGACTTTATTTTATTGTTTTATTTTGGTATTTCATGTTTTACTTTACTTTTTATGTTGTTAGTACTGTATTTTATACTGTAAGGTTTAGGATAAACACTATGTACAACACAAATAGTTGTTTATTTCCCAGAAATTTGGCATAAAAAACACGGTCATAAGTCGAGTGGTCGTAAGTCGAGCAGGTCGTAAGTTGGATGGTAGGTGTATATATATTTAAATCTAGACTCAAAAATATAATATTTGAACTTTCTCCCTAATTAATTTCATGCCTAAAGTTTTATATGACTGATTTTTATACGACTGATTATTATATGACCGATTTTAGCCATCATTTGAACAAAGCTTGTCTACCATCATACCCAATGAAGAATAAATGTCAATACCACAGTTAGAACAACACACAAATAACCTGCACTTAAGAGATGAAACTTACGACGACATTTCAGTCCATCCTCAACAAACGTCAAACCACAACTAAGCAAGAAAATGCAGAGCAGACCAGAACACAGGTTGGAAGAGAGGATGGGCGAAGAAGAGAATAATAATATAATAATAATGTAGTTAGCAGCGGCAATTAATAGTAAAGAGGTACAGTACATACCACATATTATGCAACATATACTCACCCAATTCTAACAGGTCTAGCTCTCTTCTACATCACAAATTTTATTAGTACACTACAGTGATAAATTATGTAAATCAGGAACTTTACAAATGCAATAAGTAAATGAACATATTGTGTGATATAAAATAAAGTTTAACATAAAATAACATGAAAACAATTTTATGTTGTAATCCAAATCAAGATACTCAAATGTTGCTTAACAGGGTGTACAAGTTTGAAAAATGCGATATAATAGCAGAACCCTAAAGCTAAGAAAAAACAGAACTGTTCTGTAGTTGAACTAAAAAAGAAAATGCCCGCATAAATAAAGCAAGATACAAAATTCAACAAAAAAAAAAATTGATGAGTTATATAACTGCTATAAACACTAGGTAGGCAAAATACCCACCCCCGGATGTGGTTGTTGCACTGGTAATACCCCAGAGTGGAGAGCCAAATGTGATCTCACAGTTGGCTGGAAATACTTCTCTTGTCCCCCCTCCTGAGGTGGCAGAAAACTACTGCCTCCTGGCTTGCCTTTGTGGTCCATAGGTTGGTGAAGAGTTGCAACATGAGCAGCTGTGATAAAAACATAATATTAAGGATGGACAAAGGCAAATGGGGACATGAGAATATCGAAACACACAGTTTTAAAATGTGTATACATTTTTTTTTTCCAGATTGAAGCATTTTAAAACAAATACCAATAGTTATATAAAGCATGACCATAATACATCTCTACAAACAATTAACCTCCTTTAACTTGTAAAGTATACAGCACAGTACAGTACAAGAGAAAAGTGAGCCAAGCACAAAATGGCCAACCAGTTTTAAATGCCTTTAGTTCACCTAATTATTACTAAATGATAAAGAATATATTTGCACAAGTTACAGAACCTTCAAAAATAAAAATTGATCATTGTGAGAAAAAAACACTGTGCTTGTAAAATGCTTATTTGTGATTAGGTAAGACTATTTTCCAGTGAGCCTGCAAGTGTGACTCAGCCTGACATCGTGATGACCAGTGTTAGCCCTAGCTAAAGTATGCCTTAGTTTTTGGTTTGGGCTTCAGTGTTAAATAAGATCATTTACTTTGCCTTTAGACCAGCATTTTACACAGCGAGGCATGTCCTCCATAGGAGTCATGAGTGACTTAACACAGGTGCTACAAGTAGCTTGCATTGAAATGAGAATATTGTAGCTTTCTGGTATCTTCAGGTCAGTGCTGTATGACCCTTGTGGGTTTAGTGCTTTGTTTTGATTGTAGTAGTAATGCCATCTTCAGATGTTATAAATGTGCACATATCACCTGTTTTATGGTTTTTTATTTCATGTGTTACAAATTTACTATGGGGAAGTGGAACAGAACTCTTCCTCCATAAACCACTAAAATGCTGGGAGTGAGGGGCTAGTAACCCCTTCTCCTACATACATTACTAAATTTATAAACAAGCTGTTTCTTTTTGGGTCACCCTGCCTCGGTGGGATATGGCCAGTTGGAAAAAAAAAATCACTCAAAGCCACTGGAACTTGTAGCATAAAACACAGGTACTGCTTCATATATTCTAGTCTTGACTGGATTTTTACATACATTTTAAAATTGTTCCTGTATAGTTTCTATCATGGCAGCCTCCTAACAATTCTGGTAAAAAGACTACAGCATATACAGAGAAGATTTTAAAAAATTAATAAAAAATTTAAACACTTAACCCTTCATCTGCCACATATGATCAACGTTTAAATTCTAGCTGCCTCAAAATGGCTGTGATTGGGAATGTTAGGCCTACACAGGATAAGGTAAGCTTAGACAACTGGTATGTGCACCAGCAAAAACTTCCTTTGCCACACTGGGCATTGTCAAAAGTCTGCTTCAAGGTACCATACCAGCATGTCTCGTCAATGACAATCCCTCACTCTACAGCTATTGGCCATCTGCTATTTGCCCTGACTGAATCTAGTACATAGTGAAAATTGTGATGAGGACTTGGAGTTGTATGAATATAAAGATAGTGTGTGTGCTGCTGCCACTACAGATGACCCATCAAACAAGAAAAATCCTGATGAACTTTGAACCATTACATAACACAACTTTTTCCTCCGAGAAGAAATATGCCCAGATGTGTTATGTATGTTTGAATACCAGAAAAACAAGGAATGCAAGGGACATGATTCATGATTCACTGTTCATGAACTCAAGCATAGTGTATGGTGTATGGTGGTCACGGTGAATGTATAATGTATGTGCATATAATACACAAGAAAAAAAAGTACCAAGAGTGAACAATGTCAGCAAAAAAAAATTCAGATAAGAAATAATTAGTTAATGAAGACTAAATATCCTGTAGATATGGTCTGAAAAAATATAATAATATACTAATCACACATGCACGTTTTAAAAAGAAAAAAAAATGAAAAATGGGTCACTTCCAGAAACTTTAAGCAACTATTTCTTGCTAAGTTTTAATCCGATTTTCACTTTTTCATTTTTAACGTGTAAAATCAAGGCAGATTTTTTGGTAAAAAAAAAAATACAAAAATATTTTAGCACTATAATACAATTTTATTTTACCCCAATGGAATTTAAGGGTTAATGTGGTCTTTCACCATCAATTTCTGAAAAATGTGACAATGAGATTACAGTGTCATCTGGTTCATCCAATACTGCAGCACACAAACAAAAATTATCATATGTGAATGAAAACTTATGAAATCCATTCTTTTCCTTGGAAGTGTAGATATGGAAGATATTGTTCCAGTCATGGTATTGTACCTTTTTTTTTAATTTTTACGGACAAAAATTTTTCGTAATTATTAATTATACAAGGTATATATCATATGAAGTACATGATGGGGCACTTATTTTATATCAAAATGTGTATGGGTTATAAAAAAAAACAGCATTTTTAAGAAAAAAAAAAACATAGTATTCCTCAAACTCAGATCAACAGAAATAAATTTGGCAAGATCAGTTTACCACACACAGAAACGTAGGAAAATATCAGCAAATTCAGTTTGAAAATTTATTTTATAATCTTGGGAAACTACTAGCTTATTCAGGCTAGAGATAGCAAGAGACTCATTTTCCAGTATAATAATACCTCATACTAACGTTTCGCATGAAGTACAGCGATAAGCTAGCGAGTAACAACAGGCAGAGTTAAAATACCAATCAAAATTATATAGTATAATATGAAATCTCAATATTGGAGAAAAAATGCCTAAAGCATTCTCATTAAAATATTGATTTTTGAAGACATTTTGATGGAACAACTATTTATATCTAAGAGCATTCTATAGGTCATTTATTCTACATATAATTCCAGTAAGCTACTTAAATAAACATGAACGATAATACTTATTCAGTACTTGTATACTGTAGAGTACCTAATGAATATATTTTTCTCAATCACATATTAGCCATATGTAAATAAAGGTCGACCCCCAACATTGGGAAAGAGCTAAAAGAGTAACGTGCATAATTATTGCTGAAATGGATACATACATGATGAATCTTCAAGAATGTACAAAATAAATTAACCACTACAAAATAAAATTTAGGATCTCACTACAAGTAGTGCAAAATGAGACTGCACTTGCATTTTAATAATGGATAGGTAGACTGCCTTTAAAGTACAGTACCTGGATTTAAAGACAGTCGTGAATAGCTAATACTGAAACTACAAAACACAGAAGGAATGAAAAGAAAATTATTATAGAGAATAACAGATCTGCTTAAAAAGAAACTGATTAGTAATACTAGGTAAAATCCTGGCAAGCTTCATAATTTACAAAGATTTGCCAGAAAGAATAAAAAATAGAATAATGCAAAGACCTATTCTAAAATAAAATTGTCAAATCCATGCATATAATTATTCTGAGCAAAGGTGGTGGATATGAAACCCTGCAAGAAAATACTGTGTGAGGATAAACTGAAATATTAACAACAACAAATAATAGTAACAAATCTTAATAAAAATAAACATTTTCAGAAAGACAGATGAAAAAAATAATTACAGTACTGTACATAGAAAATAATAACCAGTAATACCTTGTTAAAGCAATAGGTACTTACCTCGACTACTTTGCATATAAACAGGCTGGAGGTGTTTGTCATCTCGAGTAGGAGGTTGTTGGGGTTGGGAAGGAGTGGGAGGGTTGGTGTGGGTTGGTGCTGCAGGTGGGAGATAGGCCACAGCCTGTGAGGTGGGCTGGTACTGGCTGGAGCTGCCATGAGCCTGAGTGGACCCATGGTAGTAAGGAGCCTGTCCCGCCACGTACACATTACTTGCACTCCCTGCCTCTGTGCAAGTGCACCAAATCACACAAATGGGTATGTTAGCAAGGCAAAAATAATGAGGAGAGAGATTGTGGGAAATCTGAAACAAAATGGAATACAGTACTTACCTCTTGTTCAATATGAAGCACAACTAATTAGAACAATCTGCCAAGTCCAAAACTATCTTAAAATGTTAATGGAACCAGCAAGAATTTGACCCATAAAAATGTGACAATTTCATCTATTGCTAAATTACAATGAAGTTTAACCAATTATATTTTAAATACAAAGTAGCATTTTCCAATAATTATCTCTTTACTCTATACAATAGTTTCATTACAGTATGGTACCAAAGCATCCCTTTTTTTTTTTCTTTCCTTTTTTTTTTAACAGTTATTTCCTACCCAGGCAGCGAGATCAAAAGAAAACACATTCAACTTCACTGCTCCTTAGTCCTCTTTCTACAAGTGCACAAGCCTCACAGTCCAAAATCACAATGAACCACATCCTCATCCATACTCTCTACATCGAAAGCTGAAATTCAGGTGCCATACTTTCCACCTCCAAAGCTTAAATCCAGCTAAATAATTTCTCAGAATCAATAACCACTCTTGTCAATTTCTCAGAATCAATAACCACTCTTGTCAAACTGTATAACTGGTGCATCTTTATTGACCATGACTTAAAAACATTTACCTCTAATCTGTATTATTTTTATCCAATCAGTGGAACAGAAACAATACTAAATTTCACTCATAATGAGCAAGTATCAAAGGTTTATAATAAATTCAAGCCACTTTCAACTTCTTGGTAGTCTCTTTCACCTAAGCCTCTTAGTTTTGATCAGGTGAGTCTGTTTTCCAACTTACTTGATTATTAAAGTACATACATTTTCAATTCCCCTTTCCTCCTTTTTTCTGTGATTAATATTAAATAGGCTTATCACTATCCTATTTACTGACATGCATATTAAAAAGTCTAATAAGTCATCGAGCAACTTCTCCAACCACCAACCATTTAATAACTTAATTGTTAACAAATTAATTCACAAATTTGCCAGCTTCCTTTCTACCTAATCCCCATGATGCTAAAACAGGCCATGAATGGATGTTGTTCAATGATCTATACATGAATGCCACTTTTTTACTGGTTATGCATAACATCATATCTCCTATTTACTTCTGAGATAAGAACATAAGAAAGGAGAAACACTGCAGGAGGCCTGTTGGCCCATACTAGGCAGGTCCTTTACAATTCATCCCACTAACAAAACATTTGCCCAACCCAATTTTCAATGCTACCCAAGAAATAAGCTTTGATGTGAAAGTCCCACTCAAATCCAACCCCTCCCACTCATGTACTTATCCAACCTAAATTTGAAACTACCCAAAGTCCCAGTCTCAATAACCCAACTAGGTAGACTGTTCCACTCATCAACTACCCTATTTCCAAACCAATACTTTCCTATGTCCTTTCTAAATCTAAACTTATCTAATTTAAATCCATTACTGCGGGTTCTCTCTTGGAGAAACATCCTCAAGACCTCACTAATATCCCCCCTATTAAAACCCATCCTCCACCTATACACCTCGATCAGGTCTCCCCCCATTCCTCGTCTAACAAGTGAACATAACTCAAAGAGTCTTCAATCCTTCTTCATAAGGAAGACCTCCAATGCTATGTATTAACTCAGTCATCCCACGCTGAACGTCCTCTAACGAATTTATGTCCATTCTGCAACATGGAGACCAGAACCGAGCTACATAATCCAGGTGAGGCCCCACTAATGATGCACAAAGCTGCAGTATGACCTCTGGACTTCCGTTGCCCACACTTCCCGATACAAATCCCAGCAATCCATTTGCCTCACTACGTACGCATAGGCACTGCTGTCTTGGTTTAAGGTTGCTGCTCACCACAACCCCCAAGTCCCCTTTGCAATCTGTATGGCCAAGTTCTACATCATTCAACTCACAAGTACAGTACTAGGGTTATGGGCACTCCCAAGCTTCAGAACCCTGCACCTATCTACACTGAACTGCATCTGCCACTTTTCTGACCAAGAATAGAGTTTGTTTAAATCCTCCTGAAGTTCCACAACATCCACGTTCGAATCAATCATCCCACCTATCTTTGTGTCATCGGCGAACCCGCTCATATCACTTGTAATTCCCTCATCAAGATCATTGATACATATTACAAACAACAACGGGCCCAAGACTGATCCCTGCGGAACGCCACCTGTCACAGATCCCCACTCGGACTCAGCCCCACCTACGGACACTCTGCGCCTCCTGTCAGTGAGCCACGACTCGATCCATGAGAGCACCCCCTCCCCCCAATGCCATGAGCTGCCACTTTCTTTAACAGTCTATGGTGCGGAACTCTATCAAAAGCCTTACTAAAATCCAAGTAAACAATATCAAATTCTTTATCGTGGTCAACAGCCTCAAAAGCTTTACTGAAGAAAGTTAATAAATTAGTTAGACAAGACCGGCCTCTTGTGAATCCATGCTGAGTATCATCAATTAAGCTATGCTTATCGAGATGGCTTCTCATAATCTCAGCTATAACTGACTCCAGCAATCTGCCCACAATTGAGGTCAGGCCCATTGGGCGGTAATCTGACGGCAACGACTTGTTCCCTGTTTTAAAAATAGGAATTACATTAGCCATCCTCCACACATCAGACACCACACCCATTTGAAGAGACAAATCAAATATTCTAATACAGTAAACAGGGTACCTGGACATCTATAAAATTCACCTAATATCTGAATTAGTCACCAATGACCCTGTAAATGAAAGTCCCAAATTTGTCCACAAGACAGTATCCAATCTTGCTTTGGAGTGCCACAAGCGCGTAAGAGTTGAAATAACAGCTGATGCACAGCCGTCTCCCACCAAAGAAGACAGCTACTAAAAACCTTAGTGCCTCATTTGACTCACTCACAAAATTGAAGAGCAAGCAAAAAAAAAAAAAAAACTTGAGATGTGTACAGTATATCAAGTTCCCCTTATACTCTTTCCCACTCATACCTCTCATTTTTCTTCTTCCTTCTCTCTATCAATGTTCACATTTTAAGTGCACATACTACTGTAATGACTATTTTTGTTACATACCCAGCAACATCTGTGCAAAACTGACATTTTATTTTTAATACACCAGCTGTCTCCCACTGAGGTAGGGTGACCCAAAAAAAAAACAACACTCGCTCACCATCACTCACTCCATCACTGTCTTGCCAGAGGCATGCCAATGCTACAGTTCAGATACTTCTCCAAACTGCAATATCCCCACCCCTCCTCCAGAGTGCAGGCACTGTTCTTCCCACTTCCAGGGCTAAAGTTTGACTAACTAGTTTCCCTGAATCCCTTCACAAATGTTACTTTGCTCACACTCCAACAGCATTTCAAGTCATAAAAACCACTTGCATGAAAAATGATAAATATTAATTTTAGCTTTAAAATTATCTGTACAATGTAAGAATTAGCATACAGTATAACAATTATAATAAATAATAATATAAGAGGAACATCAGAATTACCATAAAAATTATGACTGAACTAAGGGTTCTGTATTGTGTATTTCCCAGAATATCATACAGTAAAATGAAGGGAAAATATGTCTGGGAATGTTACAGTTTCAAAAGTCATCTGAACTGTGATGTCATCATTCTCCTAGCAACACAGTGATTGAATGAGTGACAATAAAAGTGTTTTCTTCCTTGCCAGGTCACTCCACCTTAGTGGGAGATGGCTGGAATACTAAAAAAAAAAAAAAAAAAAAAAAACAAGTGGTAGTGTCAAGTCCCTTGGTGTTCAAATACAACACTGTTCACTGTAGTTTAAATATACGTAGTAAAATTAATTGAACTTAATCAAGAAAGTCATGTCTATTCACACTTTTGCAATGGCTATATACTGTTCAACTAAGTCTAGTCTATCAGGTATCCACAAATATTGCATTCAGACCCAGGATTAATCCCAGTTTACAATCTGGTAATAAAGCAAGGAGACTTTTCATTAAAGTACAGCAGTTAGTGTTAATCAAAATGTGCAGAAAAATTTTAAGCTTATGTCATATATTGTCTTTACATTTCAAAAAATTCAATTTTATACCCCCTAACACCTTAATTTCTCCTACATCTAACACCCTCTTCAATTTCCTGTATTCTGGAATGCACAATCATACATTCCTGAGTACAGTAATACAAATTTGTCAAAAACCCAATTTATATAAAACTAAATCATAAATAATAACCATGTTGCTGTTATGGAGCAAAATTTCAAAATCTGACAACTAACTCAAATCACAAAGGGTATAAAATTTGAAGGGAAACAAACTTAAAACTTACTGGTGGTAGGAAGTGTGACAGGTACACTGGGAGCTGCATGTGCTGGCAAATTCTTAAAGTTGTATGGGATCTGTTGATATCCTCCTTGAGGCGGTGGTGATGGTGTACGTGACCTCTTCAGCGAACCCTAAGAAAAATTTAGTTTTGACACTCCTGGAATAGCAATTACCACACGTGTGTGCATGTGCATGTGTGTACATGCACAGACACACGCACACATACACACAGTTTGTGTAATGCAGGACATGCAACAGCTTCAGTTTAACTTAATTTACGTTTTTTATTTATTTTTTTTTTTTCAACAAGTCAGCCGTCTCCCACCAAGGCAGGGTGACCCAAAAAAGAAAGAAAATCCCCAAAAAGAAAATGCTTTCATCATCATTCAACACTTTCACCTCACTCACACAATCACTGTTTTTGCAGAGGTGCTCAGAATACAACAGTTTAGAAAGTATATACGCATAAAGATACACAACATATCCCTCCAAACTGCCAATATCCCAAACCCCTCCTTTAACGTGCAGGCATTGTACTTCCCATTTCCAGGACTCAGGTCCAGCTATATAAAAATAACCGGTTTCCCTGAATCCCTTCACTAAATATTACCCTGCTCACACTCCAACAGCTCGTCATGTCCCACATACCATTCGTCTCCATTCACTCCTATCTAACACTCTCACACACGCTTGCTGGAAGTCCAAGCCCCTCACCCACAAAACCTCCTTTATCCCCTCCCTCCAACCTTTTCGAGGACGACCCCTGCCCCGCCTTCCTTCCCCTACAGATTTACACACTCTCCATGTCATTCTACTTTGATCCATTCTCTCTAAATGACCAAACCACCTCAACAACCCCTCTTCAGCCCTCTGACTAATACTTTTATTAACTCCACACCTTTTCCTAATTTCCATACTCCGAATTTTCTGCATAATATTCACACCACACATTGCCCTTAGACAGGACATATCCACTGCCTCCAACTGCCTCCTCACTACAGCATTTACAACCCAAGCTTCACACCCATACAAGAGTGTTAGTACTACTATACTTTCATACATTCCCTTCTTTGCCTCTATAGATAACACTTTTTGTCTCCACATATACCTCAATGCACCACTCACCTTTTTCCCTTCATCAATTCTATGATTAACCTCATCCTTCATAAATCCATCCGCTGACACATCAACTCCCAAATATTTGAAAATATTCACTTCTTCCATACTCCGCCTCCCCAACTTGATACCCAATTTTTCTTTATCAAAATCATTTGATACCCTCATCACCTTACTCTTTTCTATGTTCGCTTTCAACTTTCTACCTTTACACACACTCCCAAACTCGTCTACTAACCTTTGCAAATTTTTCTTTAGAATCTCCCATAAACACAATATCATCAGCTAACAGTAACTGTGTCAATTCCCATTTTGTATTTGATTCCCCATAATTTAATCCCACTCCTCTCCCGAACACCCTAGTTTATGTACCAGTCTAAAAATGTCTCAATATATTGTAGGCTTTCTTTAATAAGTGAAAACATTATTATTATCATTAATAATTTCAAGTTATTCTTATAGTCAAAACTAAGTGGTAAACAATAATTTCAAAACATTAATTTCTTATCAACATCATTTTCCTCCTCCTCCTCCTCCTTGGTTTTCTTCAGTCAGTCTAAATGAAAATTGCTTTCAAAACTTCCTTAAAATAATCACCTCATTTTGAGTTTATCACTTTTCAAACATGGTTCTTTGGTTATCATATCCTCATTTTTATTTCCAAACATCCAAATAAAAATGAGGATATGATAACCAAAGAACCATGTTTGAAAAGTGATAAACTCAAAATGAGGTGATTATTTTAAGGAAGTTTTGAAAGCAATTTTCATTTAGACTGACTGAAGAAAACCAAGGAGGAGGAGGAGGAGGAAAATGATGTTGATAAGAAATTAATGTTTTGAAATTATTGTTTACCACTTAGTTTTGACTATAAGAATAACTTGAAATTATTAATGATAATTCTTCCACTTATGGGGGAATAAAATAAAAATAAGACAAACTCAAATGCTGTACTTACTATCTCCCTGACCTGCCATTTGGAGACTATATAACCACAAGAATATTGCACTTACGGGAGGTATTAATGGCTGAGGTTGAGCAGGTGGAACCTTGTATCCATGGATGGGCAGAGAGCCTCGCCCTGGCACAAGGTTGGACTGGAAGAGCATCTGTGGATGGCCACTAAGTGGAATTGTGCCATGTGGATATGAATGTACTGCCATCAATTCACTGGGGATATCAGAAACATTATGTTCCAAAGCACTTTAAGAGCATTAAGCATAATAACAAAATATCAATTCATATACAGTACCTAATTTTTTTTACATATACCTTGCATTTAAAATTCTATCAAAATTAAAATTATTATTCACTGAATTAAGCCTCCAGGAGTTGAAGATGACACTGAAAATTATCATGGGCAAGAAGAATCCCAAATGCAACATTTTTTCAGGGATAGGCACATCCTCACTTCAGGAAAGTGATGCTTGAACCACTCAGGAAAGACATCAGTCACCCATGTTGAGGCATTGGACCTCTAAATAACAGGCAATGTACTTTTGTCTTTTAAAGTATGGGAATTCTTGGAGCAATAAACAAACAAGGTTTGTATTTAAAATATCCTGATGCATTACCACAAAGAAGCAAACTGAAATGGTCTTTTGCAGCCCTGAATCCAGGAGCAATTTTCTCTTGTTTACTAATGTATGTTTTAAATGGCATCTTTTTTCTGAACAAACCTGCTTCATCAGCATTAAACACTTGCTCAGGTTTGTAACCATCCTGAGAGATAATGTTAGCTAGCTAGCTCAGCCAGGCACCTCTCTGAGGCAGAATGGTCAGCAAAGGCACTCTCCCCACTGAACTTTATATTATGCAACCCAATGCACATTCTAGGCCTGTTAAACTATTCACAACTAAAGGTGAATTTATTTTTGGGCTGTCTTTCCTCCTCATAAATTCTTTTTAGTATGATGAGGCTTTTGTCCCGAACAATAAGGCCATCAAGTATAACACCTTTCCTTGTTTTTCAATCCACACATTTAGTAAACTTTAAACTGTAATAAAGTTAGTAGAATTACTGAAAATATGTAAAGTAAAAGGACACTAGTGCAACTAATGTGACATTTTATTGTGGCAATAAAATGCCACAATAAAATGTCACATTAGTTGCACTTGTGTCCTTTTACTAAACTTTAAACTGTAATGACCTATTCCTCAGTCTTTTCACTGTGTTACATTGAGGATTACTCATTGCACAAGCCTTTTATCTTTGCCTCATATTGAACAAATCACTGATTCTCTAACACCAAACACTCATGCTGTCTCCCTGACACAATCACCACTCTTTGGCATCTCAATTGCCTAATTTTTTTTTTACAAATAGGCATAATTTCACACTTAATTTTCTACCTTGGGAATATTTTACCCCTTGGCAGATTTTATTTAAATATCCAGATACACTGACCCTCATGAGAGGCTGCTTGTTTACATCCCCTCACCCTCCCCAGCAACACTAAGACAGCAGAACTGCCCAAGGCATAATGGGGTCTCCTGCCTACCTGTCATAGTGCTCCTTAACTCTTTTGCTGTCTCCATCAGTGTATTAAATTTTCGGGAGTCAAAACAGTAAAAGGATTAAGGGGAAATTTTGCCCCCATGGAAATGAATACCACTCCAGAGCTCCTTAATGGAAATGGTGCCCTTCTACTGGAAATTAAACACTAAGTTTAAATCACAGAATATTGAAAGTAAAAGATATGATCATGCAATTTATGGTTGCCTACTGCATCTTTCCAGATGTATATTTGGGGACTGCATTGTTGGTATGTTTGAAAGAAAGAGAGTGGACTATGCTTTTGATTTTCCAATATCTTAATGAGTTTCTTCATTAAAACAAAATCATATCACAGAGGTAAAATTTCTGAGTCTACTTTATTTCACTTAACAAAAGCACACTTATATATAGTGAATCTTTAAAAAATATAATTGCTAGGGTCTCCTGTTTTTAAAAAAATTGCTCTTGAAAGGGTATTCTGTAGCATACAAATTCGGACATTTTTATGGTGGGGAATTTTTAAAGTCCCTACTCCACCAAATTCATAATGCCGTTTTATTTAAAATCAAAAACCCCCCCAGTCCATTTTGTCCCTTATGTGGAAAATGCCATGTAAACTGTTTTATTTTATTATTTTTTTTTTATTACAATGGCCGTTCCCACCAAAGGGGGGTGGCCCGAAAAAGAAAAACTTTCACCATTTTACTCCATCCGTCTTTCCGAAGGGGGCTTTACACTACAGTTTTTAAACTGCAACATTAACACCCCTCCCTTTAGAGTGCAGGGACTGACTTTCCCCTCTCCGGTAATCCGGCCCGCCGTTTCCCTGAATCCCCTTAAAATGTTACTTTGCTCACACTCCAACAGCACTCAAGTATTAAAAAAACCTTTTTCTCCATTACCCTATCAAAAACCCCCGCATGCCTGCTGGGAAATCCAAGCCCCTTCACACAAAAACTCCTTTTCCCCCTCCCTCCAACCCTTCCTAGGCCGACCCCACCCCCCCTTTTCCCTTTCCCCTACAGACTGATACACTCTTGAAGTTATTCTGTTTCGCTCCATTTTTCTACATTCCGAACCCCCTCAAAAACCCTTCCTCAGCCCCCTGGACAACAGTTTTGGAAACCCGCACCTCCTCCCAATCCAAACTACGAATTTTCTGCATTATATTCACACCACACATTTCCCTAGCATGACATCTCCCTGCCTCCAGCCTTCTCCCCGCTGCAACATTCACCCCCATGCTTCACACCCATATAAAAGGTTGTAAAACTATACTCTCATACATTCCCCTCTTTGCCCCCAAAAGGAAAAGTTCTCTGTTCCACAGAACCCCTTTAAGTGCAACCACTCACTCTTTTTCCCTCATCAATTTATGATTACTAAATCTTTCATAGACCCATCCGCTGATAAGTCCACTCCAAATATTTGAATCGTTCACTCCTCCATACTCTCTCCCTAAATTTCTGTTATTCAAATCTTTCATCAACTAATCTTTTTTGTTATCTCATAACCATACTCTTTCCCTGTATTACTTTAATTTTCCTTCTTTTGCACACCTACCCAAATTCATTCCACCAATCTCTGGCAGCTTCTCTTCAGAATCTCCCAAGAGCACAGTGTCTCAGCAAAGAGCAGCTGTGACAACTCCCAATGTTGTGTGATTCTTTATCTTTTAACTCCACGCTCTTGCCAAGACCCTCGCATTTTCTTCTCTTAAAACCCCATCTATAAAATATATTAAACAAACCACGGTGACATCACACTCCTTGTCTAAGGCCTACTTTTACGGTAAAAAATTTTCCCTCTTTTCTTCATACTCTAACTTGAGCCTCACTACCTCGAAAAACTCTTCACTGCTTTCAGTAACCTATCCTACACCTTACACTTGAAAACATCTGCACATTGCCCCCTATCCACCCTTGTCATTACGCTTTTCCAAATCCATAAATGCCACAAAGACCTCTTTAGCCTTATCTAAATACGGTTCACTTTATATGTTTCACTGTAAACACCTGGCCCACCACCCCCTACCTTTCCTAAAGCTCCTTGTTCATCTGCTTCCTTTCTCCGTCTTACTCTTAATTCTTTCAATTTTTAACTCTTACATACACTTTACCAGGACATTTCAACAGACTTTCCCCTATAATTTTTGCACTCTCTTTTATCCCCCTTGCCTTTTTATAAAAAAGGAACTATGCATGCTCTCTCCCATCCCTAGGTACCTTACCCTCTTCCCATTACATTTATTAATAATTTGCCCCAAACCACTCCAAAACTAATATCCCACCTGCTTTTAACATTTCTATTTTAACCTCAATCCGGCTGGCCTACCCCCTTTCATTTTAACTTATGCCTCACGAACTTCCCCCACACTCACAATGGCTTCTTTCCTCACTCTACAGATGTTATCCTCTTGCCCTAAACACGAAATCACAGCTTCCCTATCTTATCAACATTTTAACAATTCCTCAAAATATTCCCTCCATCTTCCCAATCCTCAACTCTCCATTTAATAACTCTCCTCTCCTATTTTTAACTGACAAATCCATTTGTTCTCTAGGCTTCCTTAACTTGTTAATCTCATCCAAAACTTTTTTCTTATTTTCAACAAAATTTGTTGTAAAGCTCACCCACTCTCTCATTTGCTCTCTTTTTACATTGCTTCACCACTCTCTTAACCTACTCTCTTTTCCCCCATATATTTCTTCCTCCTTTGCATCACTTCTACTTTTAAAAACTTCTCATATGCTAACTTTTTCTCCCTACTACTCTCTTTACATCATCTTCCACCAATCGCTCCTCTTCCCTTGCACCCACTTTCCTGTAACCCCCAAACTTCTGCGAACACTCTAAACACTAAAATTTAAAACCTACCCATTCTCTTCGACCCCATTGCCTATGCTCTCATTAGCCCATCTATCCTCCAATAGCTGTTTATATCTTACCCTAACTGCCTCCTCTTTTAGTTTTAAAACCTTCACCTCTCTCTTCCCTGATGCTTTATTCCCTTGTATCCATTTTACCTTTTACTTCAGTGTAGCTACAACTAGAAGTGATCTGATATATCTGTGGCCCCCCTCATAAACATGTACATCTGAAGTCTACTAAAACAGCTTTTATCTACTAATTTACAAAACCCAAACAAACTACTTGTCATTCGCCTTTACTTTCTATCTGTAAACTTATTTATCCTCTTTTTCTTAAAATATGTATTACCTATAACTAAACTGTTGTAATCATACTAAATACATCTCTCTGCAATCTTAGATTAAATTTTAGTCAAATATAGTGAAATACTCATAAAACATACCTTTCTTTGAGATAGTTTTGCTGTTGCTGAGCACGTTTCCGTGTTGCATCTTCATTAAGAACAACTTTTAAGTCTTGAAAAAGTTGATGCTTTTGATTTTTCAGATCATTAAGATCCTGTTCCATTTGGGACAACTTTTCTCTTGTTTCTTCAAGAGTCATAGCATGCTGCTTCTTCCGATTTTCACGCTCTTTACGAAGTCGCTCCTCTTCTGCATCAGCTTCCTGTTCTAAGAGTTTTAAAAATTTATGTATACCTTCTATTAAGGTCAAGGAATATTTATTACTAAAATTAAGGTATATACAGTACTGCAAAGTGGCATATCTTTACTCTGTAATTTTTATTTTAAATAACTAGATATTGAACAGGATATTAGAAATACACATACTTTTAACTCTCTGAGCACATAAAACTAATCCATACTACTATACTGAAGAATTGCAAAGACTATTCATTACTGTATATTCTTTGTAGTAACCTACCTTCTTTTTTTCTCTTCCGTTCTCTAATAATGTGCGCCTTTAGCGACTCCCACATGGCACGATTCATCTTGGCTCTCTCTACCATCACCACAGGAGCGTACCTTCTATCACTCCCCTCACCCCCCCGACCACGCTTTTCAGCCTCCGCAAACTTTACCATCTTTAATGTGAATGCCCTGAAAATAACCCTCTTTTGAGCCAAGTTTGTCAAGAGAAGCATTAAGTAGACAATGATACAGAAAAAGAGAGAAAAGTTACATTCACATTTTATATGAAGAACCTACTTCATGAAAAAAAAAGATAACTATACCTATGTTACCAATGGAATCCTACCAAACATTTTCCCTAAAATTCTTTCATTAGGCTTTGGCACTTCTAAAATTTAAAAAACCTTATAAGCACATCCTTTCTATTTGTTCCCACTTAATTTAATACTATATTGTGTAAATTCAAGAATTATGTGGATTAAAGTAAAGGTTGGATGCGAGAAGTGGGTCATAATAAGTTTTTATCACCTGGAGAAGAGAGGAATTTCAAGGAGAGAGAGAGAATTTTTGGAATTTAAGTGAATGTATAGGAGCCTTTGAACCAAGTGAGAGGTAATTGTGGTAAGGGGACTTGAAAGCTAATTGGAGAAAAACTTTATGAAGGTTGGGTAGGTAAAATTTGGGGTGGCCAGTGTAAATGATAATGGGGGCCTTTGATTGAACTTTGTATAGAAAGGGTTTAGTTATAGGTAATACATATTTTAAGAAAAAAAGGATAAAAAGTATACGATATGATTGTAGGGCGAAATGACAGTAGTTTTTTTGGATTATGTATTTGGGAGATAAAAGACTGTTGAGTGACTTAGGATGTACATGTTTAAGAGGGGCCCCCAGATATATCAGACCTTTCTAGTTGTACTACACGAAGAAAAGGTAAAAATGGGGTACAAGGAGAATGAAGCATCGGGGGAAGAGAGAGGTGAAGGTTTAAAACTAAAAGAGGAGGAGTTAGGGTAAATTAAAAGCTATTGGAGGAAGATGGGCAATAGAGCATAGGCAATGGGGTCGAAAGGTATGGGTAGGTTTAAAAAGTAGGGTTTTTGTTCAGCAGAAAGTTTGTGGTTTCAGGGGAAAATGGGTCAGGAGGGAAAAAGGAGCGATTGGGGGAAGATGAGTAAAGAGAGTATAAGGGGAAAAAAAAGTTAGCAAGAGAAGTTTTTAAAAGTAGAAAATGATGCAAGGAGGGAAGATATATGGGGAAAAAAAAGGGAAAAAAGTTAAAGAGTGGGTTTAAGCAAGTAAAAGAGAGCAAAAGAGAGAGTGGGGAGTGTTATCACAAATTTTGTTGAAAATAAAAAAAAAGTTTTGGAGTGAGATTAACAAGTTAAGAAAAAACCAGAGAACAAATTGGGTTTCATTAAAAATAGGAGAGGAGAGTTATTTTAAAAGGAGAGTTAGAGGTATTGGGGTGGGAAAGGGAAAATTTTTAGGGAATTTTTTAAAAGTTGTGAAAATAGGGAAAAGCGTGATTTCGTGTAAGGGGAAGGGGGAATAAAAATCTTGTGGAGTGAGGAAGGCCCGTGGAGTGTGGGGGAAGTTGGAGGCAGAGGTAAAAGAAAGGGGGTAAAGGCAGCCGGGATTGATGGGATAAAGATAAAATGTTAAAAGCAGGTGGGGGTATGTTTTTGGAGTGGTTGGTGCAATTATTTAATAAATGTATGAAGAAAATAAGGTACCTAGGGATTGGCAAGAGCATGCAGTTCCTTTGTATAAAGGCAAAGGGGGGTAAAAAGGTGAAAAATTATAGGGGGAAAAGTCTGTTGAGGGACCTGGGAAAGTGTATGGTAGAGTTATAATTGAAAGAATTAAAAGTAAAAAGGGGGAATAGGTAGCAGATGAACAAAGGGGTTTAGGAAAGGGGGGGGGGTGTGTGGACCAGGGGTTTACGTGAAACATATAAGTGAACGTATTAGATAAGGGGAAAAAAGGTCTTTGTGGCATTTATGGATTTGGAAAAAAAGGGGTAGACAGGGGGGATAGGGGGGCAAAAGTGGCAGTGTTGCAAATGTAGGGGTAGGAGGTAGGTTATGAAAACAGTGAAGGTTTTTAGAGGATATGGGGCCAAGTTAGAGTATTAGGGGAAAGGGGAAATTTTTTTTTTTTTGTAAAAGTAGGCCTTAGACAAGGGTGTTTTTGTGTCACCGTGGTTTTTTAATATATTTTTTAGATGGGTGTAAAGAAGTAAATGCGAGGTCTTGGCAAGAGGCGTGGAGTTAAAAGTAAAGAATCACACACAAAGTGGGGGTTGTCAAGTGCTCTTTGCTGATACACTGTGTCTTGGGAGATTTGAAAAGGTTGCAGAGATTGGGGGATGAATTTGAGGGGTGCAAAAGAAGAAAATTAAAAGGGGAATACGGAAAGAGTAAGGTTATAGGATAACAAAAAGATTAGGTGATGAAAGATTGAATATCAGATTGGAGGGAGAGAGTATGGAGGGGGGGTGAAAATATTAGATATTTGGGGTGGACGGTAGCAGTGGGGCTATGAAAGATGAGGTGAATCATAAATTATGAGGGGAAAAAAAAAGTGGGTTGGGGCCTTAGGAGTCTGTGGAGACAAAGAAATTTGTCCTTGGGGGCAAAGAGGGGAATGTATGAGAATTTTGTTTTACCAACGTCTTTTAAGGGTGGAAGCGTGGGGGATGAAAGTTGCACGAGGAGAAGGCTGGAGGCAGTGGAATGTATGTCTGAGGGCAATGTGTGGTGTGAAATAATGCAGGAATTCGTAGTTTGGAAGTTTGGGGGAGGGGCGGGGGTTTCCAAAAAATGTTGTCCAGAGGGGGGAAGGGTTGTTGAGGTGGGTTTGGACATGTAGGAGAGAATGGGCGAAAAAAGAAAACTTTAAGATGTATCGTCTGTATGGGAAAGGGAAAGGGGGGGGGTAGGGGGCGGCCAGGAAGGGGTTTGGGGGGAGGGGGTAAAAGGGGGTTTTGTTGCGAGGGGCTTGGACTTCCCCAGGCTGCGTGAGCGTGTTTTATAGGGGTGAATGGAGACAAATGGTTTTTAATATTTACGTGCTGTTGGAGTGTGAGCAAAGTAACATTTATAAGGGGTTTAGGGGAAACCGGGGGGGCCCGGGTTAGTCTGGAGATGGAAGTACGTGCCTGCACTTGAAAAGGGGGGGGTTAAAGTTGCGTTTAAAAAATGAGGTAAACACCCCTTTGGGAAGACATGTGGAGTGAATGATGGTGAAGTTTTTTTTTTGGGCCACCGCCTTGGTGGGAATCGGCCGGTGTGATAATAAATAAAAAAAATTGAGATTACACAAACTACTTAATCTAATCTTACCTCTAGGATGGATACCAACAACTACAAAAGTCATACTATAATTATTCACTATACTAATGAATATTGTTATTTTCCTATGCAGCATCTTGAGCCCTTTCCTATTCCTCCTTTATGTCAACGAAATATAAAATGCCACATAACATATTAAACCAATACCCTGTGCTGATGACTCCACTTTCATCTTATCCAATAGACCCTAATGCCCTAAACTGAACAGTTAACAAAGAGCTTAAAAAAAAAAAATGTTCACACTTGGATATGTTTATTTTCTGTACAATTACAGATAGCTACATGCAATTAAGCAAGTTTTGGGTGATTACAATCATCTTATACAGTAACATACAACCAAATAAAAATTTGAATAAAAGATCCCCAAACAGATAGAAAAGATGAAAGCAAATTCCTAGGCCTACACAAAAAACAAATGGAAATTTAATACAATATGTTTATTGGTTAGGGGTTTGGGATACTGGCAGTTTGAAGGGACATCTAAACTGTCGTATCTGAGCGCCTCTGCAAAGACAGTGATTATGTATGATTAATGGTGAAAGAGTTGAATGATGAAAGTTTCTTATTTTCTTTTAGGGTTTTTCTTTCTTTTTGGGTCACCCTACCTCGGTGGGAAATGGCCAGTGTTAAAAAAAAAAATGAAAAAACTGAATCACGCAAGGCCCTATGCTGTTCTTACAATATACCATGTCACATGGATCACACCTACTCATCATGGTATTTTGTTCTAATGTAAAATCTGAAAAGCAAACTGCCAGACATCCAAAACAATATATTTGACCCAGACATCAGTGTGCAGGAACACACAGGCCAGGACAAACAGCAAATCCGTACAAAAGCTAAAATGGTAGGCAAGAGTGAAACACGAAATTGAACCAAGTCAACTATAAAGTGCCAACATATCAAGACTATCATGTCATAAATGTTATTTTTTTTGTTAAGAATCACAATCAATGTTGTACCACAGGAAGTAAACATTTTTTCAGTGCCTACTGTATGAAGCTATATTATATTCGACTACTGCAACCATTGTAGAGATTTAGAAGAATAAGCAGCGATACGGTGGCTGGAAGAATACACAAATAACTCGCACTTAGGAGACTGAACCTTATGAAGACATTTCAGCTCAACTTAGACCATTAATGCTGCCATAAGTTTTAGTCTAAGTTTGAGTTCTTTGTGCATTGTAGAGATTTAAAACATCAATTTGTAAAGTTTGTAAATTTCACATGATTAATATATACATTATACTATTCAATATGAAGTGCTAAATCCATTGGGATCTTCACAGCACCCGGAGAACAAGAGAAAAGGAGATGTAATAAAGGAAAGGAAGGGTAGCTCCAATTCCTTAGATCAAAAGCCCTTCACTGGCATCAATGCACATCCACTAAAGAACATACAGTGTAATATATATATATTCACAAGCTTGAAAAAAAAAAAAATAAGAAAAGTGTCTCCAAGAGAATAAGAAAAGTGTCTCCGAATAACATGCTTTACACTTACACAAAAAAAGGTGTACATTTGAGGGTGAGCAAATATACAGTACAACATCCCACCTGGCCCAAGGTGACCAAAATGACCAATTCTTCCTTTCTTTTTAATTTTTTTTTTAGGTTTAGTCAGTTTGCATAGTCCTTTGTGAGGGATCACAGCGAGTAACATGCAGTCTGCTGTTTCTTGTTTAAACTTGACATGTCGGTTGTATTTTTTTTAATTTACTACAAACTGACAATGGAGGTGGCTGGGCTGGAGATCCTGGTGATGAGGGACACAGATCTTAATGATATATGTAATGTGTCTCTCAAGGTTTGTACAAGTGACTACATCAGCAGTGTTGCTGCTGCTGCTCCAAGGCTCCACAACTGCCTTCTTGAAGACACGTGCGGTTTACTTAGCAGTTTAATCTTCTCGGGTTGTCTGTAGCAATTGTGGTGCAATGTGTGGCTCGTCTTGTTAGAAAAAGCTTGATCCAGTGACGAGAAGTGTTAAAATGTTGAGGTTGCTGGAGTTACCAAACAAACAACAACACTGTGAAGCCTGACAACCACCACAGTTCCTCCATATTGACGCTACTTCACACATTGCTCTCACTACAACATTGCTCTCACTACAACATTGCTCTCACTACAACATTGCTCTCACTACAACATTGCTCTCACTACAACATTGTTCTCACTACAACAACCATTTCTCTCACTACAACATTGCTTTCACTACAACATTGCTCTCACTACAACATTGTTCTCACTACAACATTTCTCTCACTACAACATTGCTCTCACTACAACATTGCTCTCACTACAACATTGCTCTCACTACAACATTGCTCTCACTACAACATTGCTCTCACTACAACATTGCTCTCACTACAACATTGCTCTCACTACAACATTGCTCTCACTACAACATTGATCTCACTACAACATTGCTCTAACTACAACATTGCTCTCACTACAACATTGCTCTCACTACAACATTGCTCTCACTACAACATTGCTCTAACTACAACATTGCTCTCACTACAACATTGCTCTCACTACAACATTGCTCTCACTACAACATTGTTCTCACTACAACATTGCTCTCACTACAACACTACTCTCACTACAACAATGTCACAATCCCCACAAATTAAAATAAATGAAACATTTTAATTCATTGCATCAAAATTCATAAATGATTTGAAGATGATTCCAAAATAGGCGAAAAAATCGTTATAAAGTTTCTATATTCCATGACAATTATGGAAAATTTACTAGGGGTGTTATCTGTACGTACCTCAACATTACATACATACGAGTAATCTCATTGGGAGACAACAACTATGTTGTTTACCGCAGTCACCCCGTGTAGACATGTGAGAAAACTTAACCACCTCTGGTCACTGCAGGTCGCCCCCTCGACCCTCTCTCAGTCTTATCCATATCTATCCGAGACCAGTATAAATTGGATAGCACCCTCAAGTACGGCGCTACTAATTAATTGTGGACTGTATAGATTATATTAGTGTAACTGAATGAAGGGGGGGGGGGGGGTAGGTTACACATGGACATATCCATCAAGGAAAAACACTTGTACATAATCCCACCACTTACCAGATATTCTCTGGTAGTCACTTGATGTAGCTGGATCACCCATAACCCATCCAATTACAACATACCTAACTGGCCAGTATCAGTCTGCTATAACTAGAAAGGTTACTTAGCTGTGGGTGATTGATGCTCCTTATTTCCTCCATTCACCATCTCATTTCGATGTCCTGCTACACTGACACGGTTCTTATTCCAGCAGGACGAGGTATCCGTTGGTTTGTCCCGGTTTAGAAGTCGTGACTCCATAAAAACTTCACTATCCTCGAGACAGGAACAACGAGGTAAACATGTGCACACACACTCTGGGTATGGCAGCTCATATCGCTTCAACGATTCCTGAACTTAGTGTTATTATCAATGATTACATTACAGTTCACAAGACGATTTAATGTCTCATAATTATTATACACATTAGAGGTCACTCCATTAAGATCTGAGACCGATGAGTGAGGATTAACTCACGGGTAATTTTCCCTGGACACATTCCATGGCGGCGCACCCGTCACCTGCGGTCCTACTATTATCCACTCATTTTACCACTTTATTATGGTGGTCACGTAAATCACGTTCCCTCACTCTTCACCAGGAACAGTTACGACACTTCCTATTAGGAAGTGAGGCCTATATTAATCCTTAGGCCGCCGTGAACGCCACGGTCTGCCCAAAATGCCTAGCCATGCTAGGTGTTCTAGTGGTACACTCTGTAATCATTATTTTACTACATGTAAACCACACAATAACCAAATTCTGTAAACTCAGCATTGTAATCCTTATAGAGAATAAACTTTGAATTTGAATTTGAATTTGAATTTCCTGATCCCATGTTTTCACCGCCTTCTCACTACATTCAAAACACTGCCGCCAACCCCTGCCCTGAGTTGACCTGACCCCCCCGCACATCCTTGCAGGCGCAGGGCGAACCCGGTTGGTTCTATTCAAAATACAAATACATTTTAACCCAAATCAACACATTAAACACTTATTAGGCACTATAGCTTCGGAAATTAAATCATTTCCACACTGCGGCCGGGCGGAAGCCGTTGTTAGACGACTTAAATTACGTCTTCCTCCAGGAGACGATTCCAGCCCTCTCTAGATTGCGCTGCTGTTTTCCTAGTGGGTCTTACTACAATTTCTTCTTGCATTACTCGGTCGGGGGTCGTCCCACAGTTACTAAAACCAACAGACATAGCTCCACTCCACAAAGGGGGCAGTAAAGCAACAGCAATGAACTACAGACCGATAGCACTAACATCCCATATCATAAAAATCTTTGAAAGGGTCCTAAGAAGCAAGATCACCACCCATCTAGAAACCCATCAGTTACACAACCCAGGGCAACATGGGTTTAGAACAGGTAGCTCCTGTCTGTCTCAACTATTGGATCACTACGACAAGGTCCTAAATGCACTAGAAGACAAAAAGAATGCAGATGTAATATATACAGACTTTGCAAAAGCCTTCGACAAGTGTGACCATGGCGTAATAGTGCACAAAATGCGTGCTAAAGGAATAACAGGAAAAGTCGGTCGATGGATCTATAATTTTCTCACTAACAGAACACAGAGTAGTAGTCAACAGAGTAAAGTCCGAAGCAGCTACAATGAAAAGCTCTGTTCCACAAGGCACAGTACCTGCTCCCATCTTGTTCCTCATCCTCATATCTGACATAGACAAGGATGTCAGCCACAGCACCGTGTCTTCCTTTGCAGATGACACCCGAATCTGCATGACAGTGTCTTCCATTGCAGACACTGCAAGGCTCCAGGCGGACATCAACCAAATCTTTCAGTGGGCTGCAGAAAACAATGTGAAGTTTAACGATGAGAAATTTCAATTACTCAGATATGGCAAACACGAGGAAATTAAATCGTCATCAGAGTACAAAACAAATTCTGGCCACAAAATAGAGCGAAACACCAACGTCAAAGACCTGGGAGTGATCATGTCGGAGGATCTCACCTTCAAGGACCATAACATTATATCAATCGCATCTGCTAGAAAAATGACAGGATGGATAATGTGAACCTTCAAAACTAGGGATGCCAAGCCCATGATGACACTCTTCAGGTCACTTGTTCTATCTAGGCTGGAATATTGCTGCACACTAACAGCACCTTTCAAGGCAGGTGAAATTGCTGACCTAGAAAATGTACAGAGAACCTTCACGGCGCGCATAACCGAGATAAAACACCTCAATTACTGGGAGCGCTTGAGGTTCCTAAACCTGTATTCCCTGGAATGCAGGCGGACATCAACCAAATCTTTCAGTGGGCTGCAGAAAACAATATGAAGTTCAACGATGAGAAATTTCAATTACTCAGATATGGTAAACATGAGGAAATTAAATCTTCATCAGAGTACAAAACAAATTCTGGCCACAAAATAGAGCGAAACACCAACGTCAAAGACCTGGGAGTGATCATGTCGGAGGATCTCACCTTCAAGGACCATACCATTGTATCAATCGCATCTGCTAGAAAAATGACAGGATGGATAATGAGAACCTTCAAAACTAGGGAGGCCAAGCCCATGATGACACTCTTCAGGTCACTTGTTCTATCTAGGCTGGAATATTGCTGCACACTAACAGCACCTTTCAAGGCAGGTGAAATTGCCGACCTAGAAAATGTACAGAGAACTTTCACGGCACGCATAACGGAGATAAAACACCTCAACTACTGGGAGCGCTTGAGGTTCCTAAACCTGTATTCCCTGGAATGCAGGAGGGAGAGATACATGATTATATACACCTGGAAAATCCTAGAGGGACTAGTACCGAACTTGCACACGAAAGTCACTCACTACGAAAGCAAAAGACTTGGCAGACGATGCACCATCCCCCCAATGAAAAGCAGGGGTGTCACTAGCACGTTAAGAGACCATACAATAAGTGTCAGGGGCCCGAGACTGTTCAACTGCCTCCCAGCACACATAAGGGGGATTACCAACAGACCCCTGGCAGTCTTCAAGCTGGCACTGGACAAGCACCTAAAGTCAGTTCCTGATCAGCCGGGCTGTGGCTCGTACGTTGGTTTGCGTGCAGCCAGCAGCAACAGCCTGGTTGATCAGGCTTTGATCCACCAGGAGGCCTGGTCACAAACCGGGCCGCGGGGGCGTTGACCCCCGGAACTCTCTCCAGGTAAACTCCAGTATTGTCCACAATATATATAGAATCTTTTAACACTTGTAAACAATGGAAATAAGTCACTTTGACTTTTCTAAGTTATCGTAGGTAATTTTCACTATGTATAATTGTTCTTATGCTTAACTGTGCCTAAATAAACTTACTAATCTATATATTTAACGAGAATTTACAGTAATTATTATCTTGAGGCTTAGGTCTGCTCCAAATGTCACGCATAACTATGGGCATTTCCTTATAAAAAAATATAAATTCTTAATTTACCATTAAAAATAATCTATCTTCTTGGGAAAAAAAAAGTAATATTGATTATAGTTTCATGTTTGTTTTAGCAAACTGCATTGTTCAGATACCCAGATTTTTATTACATTACATTATTAAGGGAAACAGTGCAAATGTAACGTTCCATTACTAGCCTGTATTTTGTAAATTCCCCATTAGTTTCTAACTGCTACTATGCAGAACTCGGGCATTAGTTTACATTTTATAATACATATAACTTACATACACTACGGAATAGGCATTTTTGTGCAAATTGTTATTTTTTGAAAAATTGGCGAAAATACAACGTTCATTTTGGTTGAGCAGCACATCTGAGCTAATTAACAATAATTATTGATTAGTGTATTACGCCTGGTCGAATGTATAAAAAAAAGTGTATCTAGCAATGGCAGGGTCAAGTTAAGTTGCGTTTGATTATATAAGGTTGAGTCAGGTGGGTTTCATTAGGTTAAATTATGTCTTTACTTTTCCACAACAATCATCTTTTCTGCAAAACCAACTAAATGTTGTGCAGTTCAAGCTACTGTAAATTTAGTGGCCAAAATCCGTCGAGGAACAGTAGTTTACTATTACCTGAA